CGATATGAGATGCTTTGATGATGTGATAAGACGCTATATCAAATGCCAGTATTATTATTGTTACTACATATTTTTAAGCCCTTTTTCTAATTCACCTCTACTTGGGATGAACTGCTCAAAAATTTATTTTCCTTCTCTATTTACACAACAAACATTCTCCCTTCTTCAAGGTGGTGGAGAGATTTTCCTTCCTCCCAACTTGTGAATAATAATAATCCTTGCATTTGATATAGAGCAATATTTCTCATATATGAATGCTGCTTTATGGTCTGGGTGCCTTGGCATCAGCTGGCAAGACGTCACCTTTGACTTAAGATCCAAAATTATGAGGCTAAGAGAATTTATTTGGCTGGTTTCCTGCTTAGCCTTTGGGAACCTCACTCTTTTCACCACCGAAAATGATACACGATCCTGACAAGCTGTCCACAGTTTGGCTCACATTAATGTACTGTCTGGGTCCTTTGGTTCAGAGTCTCCACACCATCCCCAGTGTTTTGATCATAAATCAGTTGATATGAATAAGATTTTTACCACACGCTGAAGAACTGCGATCACCATTCCATTCCCTGAAGGAACTTGAAGAAAAGAACCTGCCATGATTATAAATAGTTTTGGTTACACATGAACAGATATGACATTAATATATTTACACTTAAGCAAGACACATGGTGACCTTTTTCCCGCAGTGTGATATTAGTGCTTTTTAAAAAAGGCATCACTGTGAAATATTGCAACACAACTGCAGTTTGACAGGAATAGACCCGAATTGTATTCAGGAGGGGAAATGGTTAAACGCTGCCTTGTATAAATTCACTGCCATTCTAACTTGTGGTCGGCAGCTTATAGAACAGAAAAGCTCAATGTCTATATTAAAAGCTATGATTGAATCGATGAGGCTTGGTAGACTGCTATCAATGTCTAAGTATTTTGATGGTTGGCTGATAACAATAATCCTTGCATTTGATATAGCACTTTTCACATCTTCTAGATATCTCGAAGAGTTTCACAGAATATCCTGTAAAGTGAATTGACTGTATATTTTATGGGCAAAATGCAGCAGCCAATTCTGCACAGCAGTGTCCCAAAAACTCATGGATTGAGTAACCAAATTATTATAATTTTTTTAAGGGATTATTACCCCCAGAAAGTGATCTGCCAATTGACTAACAACCGGGTTCCTACTTACTGCTAGGTAAACTGATTTGTGTAGAATAAGAAAACTTGCCTGAGGTTTCACCCTACTCGGGAATCAAACCCAGGTCCTATTGCTTGTAAGCCATGTGCTCTAATCGATACAGTAAATAACTCCGTGAAAATAAGGAACTAGAGAAGATCAGGAAGTATATTGACTTGCAAATTGAATGTGGATGCATGTGGCAGTACAAGAAGAGCAAAGTAACTATAATCATTAGTCCAAATAGGACTTAATAATCATAGAATCATAGAATTATACAGCGCAGAAGGAGGCCATTCAACCCATCGTATCTGTGCCGGCTTTTGAAAAAGGCTATCCAATTCAATCCCAATTCCCCTTCTCTCCCCAAACTTGTCCTGTAATAAAATAATTCAAAATGGCTTGTGCCTGGTGCACAAAATGTCCACCTCCTGCAGAAAATAGTAATTTCAGGAAATTCAAATATGCTAACAAAAGTAACATCCATTGAAGTGTGATGTGGCAGTATTATTGGTCTAGCTGATTATTATTGAATCACTGAAAGCCACTTAGAAACTATCTCCACCGAGTGATCTAAGCTGCAATAATATAATAATAATAATCCTTGCATTTGCTATAGTGCCTTTCACTTCAGGGTGATATCCCAAAGTACTTTACAGGATTTACTGTAAAGTGGAGCGACTGTATTTGTAGATGAACACTATTTGCTAAAGGAGTTTTAAATAGCGAAGCCTTCATATACTTGAAAGTGCTTCAGGCTGACTCTCTGACAGTCTGCCTGGATGTCAGTCTGAGAGAAGCTGACTTGTTGCCAGAGTCTTGCTGCCTGTAAGGGTTCGGCATCTGCGTGGAGTTTCAGAGGGTTAGTCTGACAACATCTGAGTAGCTAAAGGATGTATGATTTGTAAATCTTTTTTCTGAATTGAACAAATTAGGCCTCCAGTAAGGCATACATGTAGGGTAGCTCAGAGCTACAAAGCTAAAGCATGCAAGTCATTTAAAAAGCAGCTTGATGCTGTAATGAGGTGAAATTACACTGGGTCTTCTGGAAGGATGAAATTGGATGGGCCAAAGGGCCTTCTTCATCTTGTGAAGACCTGGCTCGGAGACTTCTGAGGGGTAGTGTTATCACTATCTCCTTTGTGACATCAGAAGCCTTTCTTGCACGTAGCAGCAGGAAATGGTGTTAGCCAGACTTCCTGCACATAGTGTACATGCCTGCAACATGCCTCCTTGAAGGGGAACTAGCTGCACGTTGTCATATTTGGTAACGGAATATTGGAATCAACTTGGTTCTCTGCAGTGTCTAGGTGGTCTGGTTCCTGAGCCAAGTGGGTCTACGGTATTCCAGGGTACTGCTTATGACAGACCAGTCAGCTTGGCTCATAAATAGGATGTGGAGGGCTGACCAGTCATTAGAAGTAGGGGTTCTTCCCGTTCAAGTCCTGTTAATCCTGCAAGCCAAAGCCTCAAAGGGTCTAATAGTCCTAACTGGACAACTGACCAACCAAAATGCATGCAACTTACCAGGAAGTGAAGCCAGAAGAAACATGATGACCTGGAAATTGGCCACTTATTAGTGTGAGAAAAGGGCTTGTCACTATGGTAAAATGTGTGTACCACATTTCCGATTAGCGTGGGCCCAGAGCATTTCTGGGCACTATGTGAAGCCTCATTGAGCCAGGCAGCAACAAGGTTGCTCTTGCAAATGCTTCTGAGTGGAATGGTAAGTGTCACCACCATTACTGCCTGTGAGACACCTCTGTCTGCAAGACCATGATAATAGGTTGAAAGCTGACATGTTGAATTCTTGCACAATTTATAATTGCTGCTTCTTCAGGAAAAATCATATTGGGAATCGCATTGTAAAAATATACAAAAAAATGCACTCCTTATTGATCATTATGGTAGATCACTGTGTAGCATTTCCCCCATTTTATGGTTGCTGAATATTGTGAGTTCATTCTCCAATGTGATCATGGTATATTCCGTTTGGTTTTACCAAGCTTTCTACCACTGGTCACCGAAACAGTTCTTAAAACTGACAGTGTACTCAAGTTAATAACTGTGATGTTACTCAGCAGCTCAATAACGTGTGATATGCTGGGAAGCAATAAATCACAGAAGAATAAACCTTTGCATCACTTGTATTTGTGATCGAGAGGAATCCACGGATTTCTACATTGAAAGGGTATACCATCCAATGTATCATCCAGATAATACCATGGGTGGGATTATACTCCTGATGATAGGCTTGAAAAATGGAATATTTTTCCACTGGAGCAGAAAACATAACAAGGGAAATCTTTTTTAAAAGGGTGAGGGAGTTAATCCAGGAAACTGCAGGCCAGTCAGCTTAATGTCATTTGTGGGCAAGGTATTGGAATCCATAATGAAAGATGAAGTAACTAGTCATGTGTAAAGGAGAAAATAATTAAGAACAGCCAGCATGGATTTACGAAAGGAAGGTCATACTTGACCAACCCTATTGAATTCTTTGAAGATGTAACCAATAAAGTAGACGAGGGAAATGCAGTGGATGTACAGTAAACCCCTGTCTTACCAGACTCCGGGTATTCAGAATTCCTACTTAGTTTGACTTGGCCTGAAAGTGAAAAGTTATAAATAAATACTGTGGGACCACATATGAGGAGACTCCCCACTCTCAACTCCCCTAGCTTGTGCCAACACTGTGCTGGTTGGGCTGAGTGGCCTGTTTCTGCGCATTCTTTGAAACAAAGTCTTAAAAATGTTGAAATCTTTTATGGAATAGATAGTGAAAAATTATTCCCACTGCTTAAATATAGCGGTGTAAGAACTCGATTGTTACTGAATGTGTTTTAAGCAAAGCTCGAAGAAACCTTATATGGCAGAAAATGATGAGACTACAGAATGCTTTGTGCCTGTTGAGGCTGAAAGCTACAACATTTGAAGGGAATTGGATGAACATTTGAAAATGAAAAGTATAAAAGGATATGGGAAAAGAACAGGCAATTGGGATTATAGTCACTAGCTCCAGTGGATAACATAATAGCTTAGTTTAGCTTCAATGAGCTGAATGATCTCTTCGTATTCTAGAATAGTTTAATGTTTTGGTGAAATGACTTTCTAAATTGCTCAAGAAAATTCAATGATTGAGCACATCAGGATTCGACCAGAGCAACTCTATTCCAATGCTTTTTAACCTTTTCAGTCGTGGAAGGACTAGCACAAAGAGGAAGACCATGTGGGCAAAACATGTAGTTCTTGACTTTGACTTCTGAGATTTCTTTTTATAACATTTTCAAAAGTCACGGACTATTAAGACAATGGTTACAGTCTTTTCTACTCAGTAATTGTCTGCAGTCGACACAGATTTTAAGTTCAGGATTTGGCAGAAGAAATAAGCAACATCAAGTAAACTTCCGAGACAGAACGCAATACTAACTCTATTGCCAATAACTGTGCCTGAGGCCACAGACGCAACGCTGATAGAGAACATTTTCGCATTCTCATGATTGAGTGCATTGGGATCTGAGTAATACCAGAAACTGGATAAAATTGTATTCAAGCTGAACCCACTAACTACGAATCCTGATGGGGAAAAAAACTAAAAANTTTCACAGGACCACAAACAGGTGCAGAGATCAACAAGTAACTGCAGTGGTTTCAATATGCAGTCAGATGCTTTTGCAAAGAAAAATCAATCGTTTCAGAAGGTTTCTACTTAAGATATTTGAACAAGAAACTTGATTTGTATGAGGGGACAAGTGATTGGTTCTTCTCCTGTGTTTGTTCTCTTTCCTGGGTTTGTCTCTCTCACTCATATGATCTCTTTCGTTCACAGACACACTCAGAAGAGAGACCTTTCCAGTGTGAAGAGTGTAAGGCTCTGTTTCGGACTCCCTTCTCCCTACAGAGGCATCTCCTCATACATAACAGTAAGCGGTTACCTTTAGATAACACCAGAGCATCTTTTTCATGGCTTATCCTTGGAGAAATTGCCTCTTAGACATCAAGGGGGAAAAATATACTTTGGTCTAGACTTGTGCTGTTTTCTCAGTGTATCAAAGCTTGCAGAATGGGCATGAATTGAAATGCTAAATTATAGGAGGTAAATCATAATTTTGAATTATTAAAAGAATCTATGGAAAAGTTGTTTGAAAATGAAAACTAATTTAAGAATTCTGCATTCTTTGAAAAATATAAGAACATATAGAAATTTCAAAGAATATAAGGTTCTACTGAATTTTTACCTGTGATATAATTTTGTCTTGATTCTTAAAAGAGCACAGAATTATGGAAAATACTTCAATCCAATCTTAATCTAGGAACCGGTTTTCTATAGTTCACAAAAAGGATCAGCTTCCAACTGAGACTGAATTCAAGAATATTCCATGGTTCTGTGCTATCTTAATTCTCAGGAAAAAGTGGCCTTACGTGCTAAGATTAGTTGAATTTTCAGGTCAGCAGTGTAAGTCTAGATCCATTCAAACCTGAGTCACACGTATTCATTCACACATCAACAAGCCTCAACTATGAGTACAGAGCAATAATTAACAAGCCTTAAATCAATTAACCAGCCTCAGACTTGACATTTAAGAAATGTTGCACCCCACTCTAGAATAGTACTAGATTAGTAGAGTAAGCGGACTATACACCCCGCAAAAGAAATTGATACTCGGTTCATTAAATACTTTTAAAAAAAACCAGTTGAGATCAGGCTTGAAGGTAGTAAGAATAGTTATAGGAAAGAAGAAACCTTTTTTTGTATAGTGCCATAACCTCTCGAAACATCTCGGAATGCTTTATATATTGTCAAGTGTCGTGTCTATTTTTGCAGGCAGTCATTTGTATCGGCAAAGTGAGTCACAACTTGATCTGGTGAATTGTTAGCAAAGACACTAGGAAGAGCTCCCTTCTCTTTTTGAATAGAATTATGGAATCTTTAGTGAAAGGCAGACAAGACCTTGGTTTCATGTCTCATCTTAAGAACTTTATCTCTGACAATTCAGGACTCGCCCAGTAATGTACAGGTTTGTCATCTTAGACTGAGTTCAAGAACCAACATCGGGTTTGAACCCATGACCTTCTTTTGTGAAGACCAGTGCTACCAACTGACTCAGGTTGACACCCAAGTATAAAATGAGATGATTAATGTTCCACAGGACAATCAGGTACTTTTCTGGTTGGGACTGGGGCATTGATCCTAGAAAGGAGCCACTTGGAGATTAATTTTAAAGATGGGTTTATATTTTAGAATTATTTATCTAAAGGACAATAAGTTCAGAGTATTACATGGATGAATGTGCCATAATAATGTAGGTCATACAGACTGTGGAGAGAAGGCTTGAAGGATAAAATACCTCTTTGTGTGTCCATTCCTTTTTATGTTTGCATTTTAAATATAACACATTTGTTATAATAACAATAATTCTTGCAATTGGTGTAGTGCCTTATCACATTGTTGAAATGTCTCAAAGCATGTCCCAGGATGTATTCTAAAGTGTAATGACTGAGTATTTGAAGGCAAACTATAAACCACAAAACTACAAAGAAAGTTTTGGGTTCAAGTACTATGTTGGGTTTTGAACTTGTAGACTAAGAAGGTACTCTGTGCAGCACTAATTCACAGAAAATCAGAGAGCAACTTCACTGCTCAAAAAGTGCAGTCATCTAATTCTTAAATTGAAATAATATGTCCCGAGAAACTTCAATGTCCAGGTCCATTTCACTTCACTGCTTGTATTCATCAGTCAACAGCCAAAGACCAGAGTATATCAAAAAGAATATTCAAGATTTTTAAGTGGTGTTTAAAAAATAAGGCATGTAGGCCAAATAGTCATGTATTACTATTTTTGGAAATATCATGGGTTTACTGCATTTACTTTTTCCATCCTGAATTATGGGAATAGATCTGACAGGACATTTTTCTGTAATTGTCCAGGTGAGCGAACCTTTAAATGTGATCACTGTGATGCAACATTCAAGAGGAAGGACACTTTAAACGTTCACATTCAAGTGGTGCACGATGGGCACAAGAAATACAAATGTGATCTGTGTGACAAAGCCTTTGTGACACCCTCCGTGTTAAAGAGTCATAAAAAGGTAGGTGTGGTAGTCCATTAATTGAAGCGCTGTGACTCTTTCACTTGTGCCCAATCTGAATTTTGTCCTGCTGATCCAAGTTTGGAATTCAGGTTTATCTGAATGTTCGGCCCAACTCCAGTCACATTCAGCTGGTTGGCTCATTGTTTTCTACAAAAGGGACACCTGGTCAGCTCGGAACTGGGATATTCATCCTGTTCTTTGCAAGGAGAATCTTAAATTGCACTGGGCCTAATATGTGGCAGTTCGTGGCCAGAACTGCTAGTGGCATTTCCTCACAACTGGGAGAGAGTAATGCCCACCTGTGGGAATTCTAGTAACCAGAAAAAGATCACAGATTTCCCTTGGGTCCACATGACTCACCTTCAGTTACCAGGAGAGGTTACTATGAATGACTCCTTCTAATGTAACGCTATCGTTAGACCCCAGTATTTTGCACTGTTGATGCATTTGTTAAAATTGCCAGAGGATTTTCGTTAGAATGCATTTAATTTCACTTTGGCTCAGTTGGTAGCATTTTCTTTTCTGAGTCAAAGTTGTGAGTCAAAACCCCACACCAGATGTGAGCTCATACTCTTGACTGGCGCTCCATGTCTGTACTATTTGAGGTGCTGTATTTGATGTAAAGAGTTAATAATAATAATCCTTGCATTTTATTGTGCCTTTCACATCGTTGATAAATATCAAAGCGCTTCACAGTATATACTGTAAAGTGCATTGACTGTGTATTTTGTGAGTGAAACACAGTAGCCAGTTGCACACAACAATGCCCCACAAGCAGCCATGGAGTGAGTGACCAATTTTATTTGGAGGATTGTTGACCTAAAGACCTGGAAAGACCCTTCTCTTTTTGAATAGTGTCATGGGATCTTAATAATCCTTGCATTTAATTTGTGCCAACATTTATCTTTAATGTCCACCTGAACAGGCAGATTGGATCTTATCTTAACGTCTCATCCGAAGAAGCCAATTTATACATAGCAGTTGCCCACACTTAGCCATGAAGTGAATGTCTCATTTTATCAGGAAGATTGGCTCTCCCAGCACTGCATTGGAATGTCAGCCCACTCTGGGTTGAACCCACAACCTTTTGACTTAGAAGTGAGAATGCTACCAACTGAAACAGGCTGACAATACGCAGATAAATAGTAAAAACTAACACTCAAAATAGCATAACTTAAATAATCAGGTTAAAATGTAGAAATCTGAATTCTAACTGTTAAGAAAAAAATCTGTTTCCATTATATTATGTGATTCCACATATACCGAAGTAAAGGGTGAAAGTAACAGACTTGCATGACCAGTTTGATATGTTCATGGTTATGAAAAGCTAATTTCTTATGGTTTCTTCACAGTAACTTGCCTCACAGCTTGCCGTCTTTGAGCTCCTCAGTCTTCAGGTCATTTCTACCATATTCTTGCGTCATCCTGGGATTTTCAGGCAATGAGCCCAGTCCAATTTGCTGCCCTGAAGGCAAAATTTGAGTACAACAGAAAAGTCTTATTAACATGTTATTCAGATACAGCACTCGTTAAAACCATTTCTAAAATTACACGATAAAGTAGATGATATTACTTTGAGAAACTACCTAGTGAAATACAGGGCTGCCAAGATTTATCTGGCACTTCAACACTGAACATATTTTTAATGTTCTGTACAGTTAGAGGTGTAAGACTCATTGGCACCAGCCAAATCTTTGTTTGCCAAACTCAGCCATTCATGTGGCTAACCTCTGATCTATTGAAGTAGTTCAGTTGAAACAGCAAAAAATTGGTTTATCCTAGAGATTTCTGTACATTATAAAATCTTCTCTACTCTTGTCAAACAAAAACAGAAATGTAGCTTTTTAGACAAAACAAATTCTTTAACATCAACCATATTCAACGAATTACATTACATTAAACTGGAACTCAATAGATACTTTTCAACAGAGAAGATGGTGGACCCAGTATTCAATCGCATGTAATTCTACAAGGGCACTCCTTCCATTGTTTATTTTCACTATAGTTCGTGCTTGAAAGGTTTTGAGTACAGTGTACCCTAAGGGAGCACCAGCATCTAAAATCCAGACAGGAAACTACCTCTGGTAGATTCAGAGCCTTAGCTCTGGTTTCACTTGATAATAAGGGAGGTCCCTTGGGGTGTTTTTAGAATTGTTTTTGTTCCATCCTCACTGTTTTTGTTTTGTGTTTTGTTAGTACAATAATAATAATAATCAATGATTTTGATATAGCGCCTTATTATGCCATTGAGACGTTCTCAAAACATTTTACAGAATATATTGTAAAGTGGATTTTGTGGGCAAAACACGGCTGCCAATTGCACACAGGACTGTCCCACAAACAGTTGTGGATTGAGTGACCAAATTTTTTTCGAGGGATTATTATCCTTGGAAAGCAATCCGCCAATTGACTAACAGCTGGATTCCTACTGACTGCTAGGTAAACAGAGGTGTATGGATGAAGGAAACTTGCCAAAGGTTTTGCCCTAACCTAGCTCTTACAGACAATAGACATATTTATATGTCAGAACCACTTTCAAATACAGTGGGTTTGTAATCTCCTTGGCTCCCAGTGCTGTAGAATTAGTTTATTTATTTTGTAGATTCCGCAGCAAAGGAGGCAGGCATTTTAAGAGGATTGCAGCAGTGCTTCATCCAGTACAACATTTTTCAATGTTGGCACACATGAGCTATTCCTATGGGCATTTTACATTATAGGTTGTGCCGACAATAGTAATGTGGAGTCCTGTAGCTCAGTGGTTAGAGGACTCGCCTTGCAAGCGAGACACCTGAGTTCAATTCCAGGCAGGGCGAAACCTTGGGCAAGTTTCCTTACTCCACACTCCTAATAATAATGCCTCCAAAAAAACAAAAACAATAATAAATTGGTCATTTTAAATCCACGACTGTCTGTGGGACACTGCTGTGCGCAATTGGCTGCCATGTTTCGCCCAAATATACAGTCAATTCGCTTTACAGTCTATTCTGTGAAGCACTTTGAGACTTCTAGAAGACGTGAAAGGAGCTATATCAAATGCAAGGATTATTATAATAGTAATAATAATCATAATAATAATCCGCATTCGCTACTCACAATGTGGTCTCCTCTACATTGGGGAGACGAAACACAGATTGGGTGGCCGATTTGCCAAACACCTCCAACACTCTGAACATCTCAAGCTCAACCCTGAGCTTCCGGTTTCTTGCCGCTTCAACTTTCCCTCCCACTCGCAGTCTGACCTCTCCATCCATGGTCTCCTACACAGTTCCAATGAGCCACAGCGTAAGCTCGAGGAACAGCACCTCATCTGAATGCTAGGGACCTTACAGCCCTCTGGCCTCAATATTGATTTCAACAATTTCAGACCATAACAGCTCACCTTCCCCCTCCCCCTCTTCTGTGACAAATACCACATCATCTCGGTCCCAAACACACCTTTTCTCTCCCTGATCTGCCTGTTTTGTTGTAAGTTCTTTTTTCCCTCCACTTTTGTTCTGCACTATTAACAACTCTATTCCCCCGCTTTGTTGCAAATTCCCCCCTTTGTTCTGCATCATTACCACCTCTTTAACTCATCATCCCCTGTCCTCTATCCCATTTTCTCCTTTGTCTTCCTTGCCCTGCCTCCTCCCTCTCTGTTAACCCTTAAAAGCCTCTCGCTCCTGACATGCCCCAGTTCTGACGAAGGGTCATGGACCTGAAACGTTTACTCACTTTCCTTTCTCCATAGATGCTGCCTGATCTGCTGAGTGCTCCCAGCGACTTCTGTTTTTGTTTTCAGATTTCCAGCATCTGGAGTATTTTGTATTTTAATTAATAGAGTATATTACAACAGAACATAAATGCAGAATCTGTAATAGGAACTTCCTGATCCGTGTGAAAATGGGCAAAGTACAGTTATGTGAACTAGAAATAACAGCCATGAGCAACAGCATTGAGATAAACAACATGAAAACTGACCACAATGGTTAGCATCTCCTTCACACACACACACACACACACTATTATGTTAATTTCTCCTGTAAGCTGAGTTTCACATCAAAATTTGTGGATAGGAGTTGAGAGCATATTCACGTCTTTCGATGCTTTATACAAATCTAAGATTTTCCAAAACACAAAATACTGCAGATGCTGGATTCTGAAACAAAAACAGAGAGCTGGGAAAACTCAGCAGGTCAGGCAGCATCTATGGAGAAAGGAAAGTGAGTCAACATTTCGGGTCCACGACCCTTCGTCAGAACATGATTTTCCACCTTGTCTTAGTCTGTCAGACCATTGTGTCTTAAGCTATCAGCTCAATCAAAATGGTGGAAATTTCTTAAATTCAAGTTTAATTTGGAAGCTGGTTCCTTTTTAAAAAGTGCAGAAAAACAGATTCCGAATGAAGAATGAAATTAAAAAAATTCTACCAATTCTGAGCAATCTTCAATTTTAAGACAGAATTGAGGAGAAATATCTACCTGAGTCTAGATTAATTTTGTTTGGGTAGAATTTTAGAGATTGACAAATTGCTAAATTCTTAATTTCGAAGCTGATTTTATTTTGAGTTCTTAAAAGAAAAATAGCTTCAGAATTGCGACCGTATTTTAAAATTTGCTAAATTCTGGATGCTTTAAAAATGCTGTATAAACAAGTAAATCTAGACCTAAGTGGAATTTCTCCCCACTGGTGTTATAGCGAAAGACTATGTGGAATTTCAAGGTCTCCGATCTTTGCCCTGGTGCTTGTACCTTTCATCCACTGAGATCAATCAAATGGCAGATCAGCTTCCGATTATTTCACGCTGAATAATGGCAGAGCAGTTCTGAAATGATGTGAAGGCCAAATAAAATACAAAATTGCAATCGATTTTCATGCTTTGAAAGTGAAACGATAGAAAGAAAGACAACAGGAGCTCTGAGCTGTCTGATCTCTTCCTACAACACATTCTCAGTGCTCCCACCTGACTAGGATCATATTCAGATATTCAGAGGTGGAACAAGAGAAACATTCTATCT